AAAAGATACAGCAGCAAGGAAGGTACAGGGTCTGGAGGTATCTAAAATTTGTTGCCATTTTTTTTCTTTTTAAGAACAGATCATCTCTCTGTTGACTTTAGCTATTATGTCTTTTAATATCCTCTTGTTCTTCTCATTCATTCCACACACGCTTACTGGGGTTCACTGTACCTGTGAGGGGTACCATGGGGGGAAACCTCAATGAACAAGAAACATCCTTAAGACATATTTGCTCCTGCCCATGATAACAAGCAACTGCAGTGAGAGTTCTGAGAAAAGGCCCATCCCACAGGTGGAGAGAATCAGGGAAAACTTCCTGCAGGAGGCACTGTTAGATCTGGACCTTGAAGGGTGGACGTAGGATTCAAATATGCTGCCATGGGAGAGACAGGAAGGATACGGGAAAAAACCAAGAGTTCCAGAGTGTCTGCAGACAGGGCCCAGCCCAGGTCACCGTTTTTCACCTCCTTGATACTTGCATGGCATTTCTCCGAGGCTAAGTGAAACCGTTAAGTGCTCTCTCTCTCTCTCTCTCTGTTGGAACAGTTGGTAAACATCTTAGTGCTTTTTAAAGATCTACTACACTAAAATGTCTCTGTTTGAAACAATTACTGTGCCCATCACACACCTTGAGATAAATTAACCCATGAACACATGCCAGCTCCTAATATCCTTTTAAAAAGCAGACACTGAAGTTGTTGGGTGCTTCTTTACTATAGAAAGGCAAAAAAGGCATTCTAGAGAAGCATTTCTGTCAGCCCAGAATTCAAGGACTCATAGCTGCTATTTATAAAATACCTCCTTTGTGTCAGCCACTCTGCATATACCCTCTCTCACCAGCCCTTGCAAAAACGCTGGGGAGTCACCATTGCCATCGCCACTCTGCAGATGCGGAAACAGGCTCAGAGTGGTTACACGATTGTTCAAGGTCTGAACTATCTGGCAGAAGAGGTAGACACAGAACTGTTATCTAGGTCTGACAGCAAAGGCCACATTATTCTGCTATTTTTTCGTGTGTGCTGGACAATGAAGGGCCCCATTCTACACTCTCTTCTGTCCCGAGGTCTCAGTTCCTTTGATCTATAGCTCTGTTTATCCTGGTCATTAGCACTCTGTGGGGCACTCTTCACTCTAACCCCTTGGCTGCCTCTGATCTGGCAGCCTGGTGCTCTCAGCTCTGACCAGGTGGCAAATCCCTAGGACAGCAAATCCTCAAGGGCCTCCTTGCCAGTCAGGGATCGCTACCACTTCTTGTCCCTAGCAAGGCACTGAGGTCCATACATGGAACTGAGTTTCTGCAGGCAGGCAGATTTGCCTGCGGATCCTGGCTCTCCTGCAGTCTGGCCAAGGGCTGTCCAAACACATGGTCTAGGCAGGTGCTCCTTCATCCCCTGAAGAACAGGGCTTAGTGAAAAGGATGTAGGGCAGGGCTTGGGGGGCATGTGGTCCTGGGTTCAACCCCTCGCCCTGCCACATCCTGCCTGTGGGATCTACACAAGTCCTCAAACCTCAGTTTCAATGTCTATGTAGACTCAACACAGTCACATGTATCTTGCAGGGCTTGCTGCAAGCATTGGAAGAGCCTGGCCCATACCAGTGACCAACTGGTAGTTCTTTTCAACTTCTGCCTGCTTCTTAACTGGATCAGGTGTGCCTCATTCACCTTTGTGTCTGCAACAGCTGACACATGGTGGAGCACACAGTAGGAGCTCATAAAACAGGATGAATCTTGAACTCCATCCTCCTTCCACCTCAAAAGTCTAGGGCAGGGATTGGCCAACTATGGCCCCCAGGACAAATCTAGACTGCTATTTTATTTTTTTTAAATAAAGTTTTTTATTGAAATATATCCATGCTCCTTCACTTGCACATCATCTATGGCTGATTTCCTGTTACAACAACAGAGTAGATGCAACAGAGACCATATGTCCACAGAGCCAAAAATATTTACTACTAGAGCTCCTTATGGAAAAAGTTTGTGGACCCCTGAGCTTGTGCATAGGATCTTTCAGTGCAGGGAGAGCTCTTGGGGACCTCCTTGTTTTGGGGAAAAAGAAGTTCCTCTGCTCCTTCCCTACCCACACTTTATAGCCTCTTTCCCTGGTTTATCTATCTTTTTTCCTTCACTCTTACACCATTTCCTAATATCTATGCCACTTTTCTTATACATGTTGTTTATTCTCTATCTCCTCTATTAAAAAGCTTCATGTGGGCAGGGAGTTTCGTTTGTTGTGCTAACGCTTACATGCCAGTTAGGGCCAGAGCCCGGCACACAAATGGGAACCCCACATATACCTGTTGATTGAATAAACATGGATGTCACTGAAAAGATTATTCAGCCAAAGCATGTTGGAGGGTTTCTCTTTCATGGAAGATTCTGGGGCTTTTAGAGGGACCCAGTGGCTCTCCAACCCGGGGGAAGGGTATTACTTTTCCTATTTTATAGATGAGGCAACTGAGACTCTGGCTATGTCAACGCTTCTCAAACTTTCACGTGCAATGCGAGTCGCCTAGGGCTCTTGTTACAATGTAGGTTCTGATTCAGGAGGTGTGAGCTGGGACCCTCATGCTGCAGTTCTAACACACTCCGGGTGATGCTGCTGGTCTACGGACCACACTTGGGAGTAGAGAGGGTTGAAGGCACCCACCCAGGGTCCATACCTAAGACTTGGGGGAGTGGAGTTCTGAGTCTGGAAATCATGGAGGTCAGCATTTCCCTTGTGTTTCCTTTATTCCATCTCCATGCACCTCTCAATCCTATGGTCTCACAGAAGCCATCGTGCCTCCCCAGTGGGGCTGCTCCCTGTCCCCAGACCTTCTCTTCCATAGCTGCCAGCATCTTCAGGCTCTTCCTTCTGCAAAGGACTTCTCCCCTTGGTTCTGAAGGTTCTCCTCATATCTCTCTGTCTGCTTTGCCAGTTCTTCTCCTCTGAATTGTTAACCATGGTCAGTCCCTGAGCTGGCATGAGTTTCATGCTCTAAGATCTCTGACTTAGAACTCCTAAGTTTGCACAACGTAAAGATCCCTGTGTATCACTACACCTTGAACTACAAGTACTTGAGGTCTGTCCCCTATACTCTCTCAGTGATTTGATTCTATCACAGTGCCCAGCACAGTGTCTGGTATGAAGTGGGCATCCAAAGACAGGTCTAAGTACCATGGCTAACCGACGGAGGAGGTGAGGTGCCCAGAGGCTGTGATGGGTCATTGCATGCCCATACCTACTGTGGAAACTGATGCCAGAAGAACCTCTAGAAGATCAGAGGAGCTCCTCGGGGCCACCACTACTGTCCTGACCCCTTACGCTTTCTGAAGGGGTAAAGAAAGAAAACTAACATTTTGTGAGTGCTAACTGTGTGCTAGGCACGTTACAAGATCCCTCATTCCCTGAGTTAGGCACTATGACCCCTATTTCGGAGTTAGGAGAAATAAGGCTCAAGGAGTTCAGAAGATTTTCTCAAGGTTTCATAATGTGAGTGACAAAGATGTGACTTGAACCCAGAGCTTCATGACTCCTAAAGCTCATTCTCTTTCTACCACAGTAACAACACCCCACATTGTTTTAACCTCTATGCCTTTGCAGATGCTGTTCCCTCCGCTTAGAATTCTTATTTCTTCAGTAATAAATCCATCTCTATAAACGCTGGTAACTATCCCTTGCCCCATTAAAAAATTAGTCATCCAAGTAAGCGCTCCTATACCAGAGTACATATAGGCACCTCTCAGCTGACATTTCAAGTATTTGGTTTTATCCTAGACCCCAGAGAGGCTTGAACACTAGGAGGGTGGGGCTCAAAGTCCTGGACATCTTTCCATCCACAGTGTCTGGAACATAATGAGCATGTTCAATGCATGTTTGTCAAATGAATGAATGAATGAAAAAATAAAGCAAGTTCTCTGATACTTTTAGTGTTGGTGGTAGGAGTCCATTGGTTCCTATATAACATGATGGCAGTGGTACCAGAATCTTATCTGCTCGTTGCCTGGCCTATTGACCTGCGACCCAAACCCTGAGCAGAGGGGATGGGAGAGCTTTTTGTTGGTCAATTCTCATCAGTAAAGTCTTCAGCTGATGATCACTAGCAAACATGGCCTCCCTCATAAGGCTGGGTGTGCCAGGAGTGGAACAAGACATGGAATGATGGACAATACACTTTACCAGAAGCCAGGCATCCTGAGTTTTAATCCCACTGGATGTGTGATTTCACACACTTCTCTGGACCACAATTTTCAAACACTGGAAATGCGTATTAGGGATATGGGACTACTTCAGTGGTTTTCTTAACTTTTCATTACCAAGGCTCTGTTTATGGAGTTTTTCCCCCTTTACCTTTGTGTTTTCAAACTTTCTGGTTTAATGAGAAGAATCATCACCTTTATTTAGAAAGTGCAAAAAAATTGAAAGGCAACAACCAGCTATAACTACCAACAAAATGCGCTGGTAACATGAGATAACTAATGCCAAACCCCAGACTGCAATCATTCCATCCCAAAGCAAAGACCTTGGATGTTTCTGTCACCTGTGAAGCTGGTTCTAGGTAAAGCCATGGTTCCCTGTAGACTTACTGAAATAGTGGAAACAGCCAATGAGTTTCTTTCTAACCTTTGAGCCCCTCGAGGCTACATATTCCCCAAGTAGATGCCAATGGGCTCTGAAGTTGCTGAGATTGGTGATTCTGTTTTATCTCTGCAAGTCCTGCAGGGGTATTAGGTTGACCTCTTGCTGAAATTCAGGGATTTCTAACTAGAAAATTATACTGCCTTTACATCTCCAAAAATCAGGGGGAAAATCCAAGATGGGAGAAACATAACAGACATAAACAATGACAGTGCATTTTCAAATGGAAAACGTCTATGTGAAATAAAAACTTTGGGGCTACAGATAACTTAGACAGAAGTGAGTATGAGAAAACCAACAGACACTTGGTTGGTGCAGGAAATGCATGCTACAGGTTCCCTTACAGGGCACGAAGCAAAGTTTCCCCGGGTCGATACTTACAAGTAATAGGAGTAGGAATAAGCATTTCTTCTATATATTGATGGGCAGTCAGATGAAGGAAATGTCCAAAAAGGGGGAAAAAGAAAAGACAAACAAGAATTAGATTTATATGAAATCTTGATTCTTAGAAATGCACATAGTATTTCAGCATCCCAAAGCTCAAGGAGATGCAAGTTTCTCTAATCATCTTCGCTGAGAATCAGATACTTTTGGAGGTAGAAGGAGAGAGACAGACCTCTCTTAATGGTGGAGAAATTCACTACTCATGCAGAAAAAGCCATGTCTAATGTTGGCTGTTTTAGTTGTTTGAAAGTTCTTTTCTTATGGTCAACTAAAACTAGCTTCCTTGTAATTATGACTTTTTTGGTCCTGGGTCAGACTTTTCTGGCCTTCTAGAACTATTCTACCACTCTTCCACATGATTGTGCTCTTATGACCTAAGGAAAACCATAATGACTTCTATGTTCTCTGTTTCAGGTCAAACCACATCAGAACCTATTTAGTAAGGTCATCAGAACCTATTTAGTAAGGTCATGCCAAAAGCAAGGTAATCAGATAGCTAGCATTCAAGATGGCTCCCCAACAATCCACACTTTCCATACGCATGCTCATGTGTACTGCCTTCCCACACTGAACCAGGATTGGCCCTATGTGACCAACAGGATGTGGTAGGAATTACATTCTGGGACTTTCTAGGATAGGTTAGAAAGAAGACTTGGAGCTCTGTCTGGGGCTTCAGAACTCTCAGTTGGAACCCTGACTCTCCATGTAAGAAATCCAAGTATCCTGAGGTTGCCGTCCTGAAAAGACCAAGTGGAGAGATGCTAAAACTGCATGAAGAGAGACATCCAGCCAGCCCCTACCAGTTGGATTATGTCAACAGAGACCCTTGGTATCATGGAACAAAACAAGTCATTCCCTTCAATCCCTGACCGATGCATAGATATATAAGAAAAATAAGTCACTAAATTTCAGGTTTGTTACATATCAATCATCAGAACAAAATTCAAACTTTATCATTAAGAACACTGCACTAAGAGAAAGGAATTCCAACCTTCAATCTGAACGAACTACAACTTGAATAAATTCTCTGTGCCTTTATTTCCTTATCTGAACCTCACAGGAGTTGAACTAGGTCATTAGTTTTCAAACTGTGTTTGTAGGATCCTGGGGGTTCTGTACAGTAGCCTCACTGAAATGGGAGAGAGGGAAACTGAGTAGGTAGGACTGCTGGTCCCCCACCATCCACAAAAGCCAGTACTTCTCTATTTTTTTTTCTATTTTATAAACTGAAGTTGCATTTAAAATTTCATATGACTAAGAATTCCACTCTCCAAAATGAAAAATCACTACCTGAAACCTCTTTCCAAGATGTCCCTTCTAGCTCTTGGCTGCTGAACAATAAAAAATGCAAATAAGTCCATGATATTCCTTTTGTTATAACTTTTTATATTTTGTAGGAAAATAAATAGGAATGCTTTTATCTTACAGACTTAGCCACACTGACAATAACTGATACATTTGTAGATTGAGAAAAATTGCTGATAATTAAGGTCCCCAAATATCCATCTGAATAGGCAAGAATAGTTCCCTTCCCTCTAGAGTTATTTGGTTAATTGCAACTGTTATCCCAGTTGCTTGGCTCAGGAATATTCAGTCTTTATATCTGTAGCGTAGGAACATGTCCTCAGAGCCTCAAATTTCTCCCTCTTGAGTAGGAAAGTAGCCAAAGTCCCCTAGGCAGGGCCACCTCTAGGTTTTCTCTTATTCATCAGGACAGCCCAACTCTAGCTCCAGAAGGAAAGTGATTCTGAGAGCTAAGAAGTTATGGCAGAAAGGAAGCCCCATGTATACTTGGGAAGCTGAGCCAGGGAAAATGAGCCACAGTGCAGAAAGATCTGGTCACTCATAAAACCATTCAACACCTTGGGTCAAAGGAACAGTGGCCCTAGGTGATGAAAGTGGTGAGGAACGCCCTGCTCTAATGGGTGGGAGTTGGAAGAGCCCATGCAAGTCACCATATCCCCCTTGCCAACCATACAGGTTCACAATGTAAGGAAACCATTCCTCACCTTCATGGCTGGCTCTGTGGTCCTGTGCCTAGAAATGTGATTCCTTGGGGAAGAAAGCTAGGGTTCCATTTTATGAAGACTTCTCCATATTGTCAAGAACAGTGGCTGAGATTTGAGAGGGCAGGGTTCTGATCTCAGCTCTTTTCACTTGCTCACTGTTACATCCTGGGCAAGTCAGTTCCTCCCTCCAGACCGCTGTTTCCCGATCCATGTACCAAGGTGAATGGCATGGATGACTGCCAGCCTAAACAGCTCTGAGAAGTGGAAATATGTCTTTGTGTCCCAGCACCACCACTTGCTAACTGCATGGCTTTGAATAAATCACTGAGTATCTCTGAGTCTCAGTCTCTCCATGTCAAGGTTGGGGGCAATAATTGTCTATTCCCAAGAGTCATTGTGGGCATTAACATTAATCTAAGTTGTATTCAAATTGTATGGGATATATAATAAAGTATATTAAGTAAATCATATTAATCTAAATTGATATTAGATTATATTAATCTAAACACCTGACATTAATAGTCCTCAACAAAGGGGAGTTCATGTCCCTGCCTCACCTATAAGTATAAGGTTTACTGCTTCTCACTCTGGTGACCAGGAACAAAGTGTTCATCTCTATAGGAATGTTAAAAATCGTAATAAAATAAGAAAAGATACTTATGGAGCACTTACTATGTATCAGACATTGTCCTAGGCTCTCATATGTTAACTCATGTATTCCTCACAACCACCCTGACAGATGGGTATTATTATCATCCCCACTTCACAGAGGAAGAAATTGAGGCAAAGAAGCTTTATGTAATTTGCCTAAGATCAAGCAGCTAGTAACCAGATTTGATAGCAACATGGCTCTAAAGTTTGTGTTCTGGACCACTAGCCTGTGCTGTCCATGAAGAGGTAAGAAAGCAGATGTATGTTGAGCAACACAGTGGGTCTGGCACTGAGATGAGACATGCTTTAAATCTTTTAATCCTCCCTACCACCCCATGGAGCAAGCATTATTATTTTTTTTTAAGATTTATTTATTTATTTGAAAGAGAGAGAGAGAGCACATGAGAGGGGGGAGGGTCAGAGGGAGAAGCAGACTCCCTGCTGAGCAGGGAGCCCGATGCGGGACTCGATCCCGGGACTCCAGGATCATGGCCTGAGCCGAAGGCAGTCGCTTAACAAACTGAGCCACCCAGGCGCCTGGAGCAAGCATTATTGTTCTCATTTTTGGTTGAGGAATCTGAGGCTCTAAGAGGTCACTAGGTCTACTGCCTTATGTAGTTTGGAACCACCAACTGCAAGGCCTCCATCCTGAGCCAGATGTCCTCACCATCAACAGCCCCAGGCTGCACTCAGTATTCTGTACCTTCTGGCTTTTCTGCCTTCAACCTTCAGGATTCACCTCTGCCGGGCCACCTCCTCATGACAACATACTTCCTTACTTTCAAACCACCTCTTCCAAGTAGCTTTTCTGAGTTATCCTGGTTGTCACCAAAAGCCAGGTGCTATCCTGACCCAGCTTCAAGTCAACTCCAGAAGAACAGCAAATGGCAGGCTTCTATTAACTGAGTAGCTTTTCCCAATTATACTGCAAAGTGTTCCAAGGCAAGGATTACAGTTCTTTACTGTGTGGCCACAACACAGTATACATGTGTGTTTTCTCTCAGGCTTGAAGAAGATTTACTGAAGGTCTAAATTTACAAGGATACAGTGATGTTGCAAGTAACAGATTGCCTGAGACCAAAAATCTTGAGAAGACAGCTGTGCTTAGAAAAAAACAAAAAAACTCCAAACTTAATAAATCACATACTGCAGAATCTTCTTTTCAGCTGGCTAACAAGGCTGACTCGAGGTACAGCTTTCCTTTGTTCCATACTACTTAAACAGGACTAAGTTATCCATTTAACTATCTGTTTCACCATCTACCCATCCATCTAGTTCATAAACCCACCCGTCCACTTTTTTATCCATCCATGCATTCATCCATGCATGCATCCAACCATCCATCCCTCCATCCATCTAACCATCCATTCACCTACCCACTTAGCAATGTATCCACCGACTTCTTCATCTAGCCTATAAACCCACACACTCATCTACCCTTTCATCCAACAATCCATCCATCATCCACTCATCCATCTTTCCATCATCAATTCAGCAAACATTTCTTAAGAGCCTACTATATGCCTGTCCCTGCAGGTTCCAGAGATAAAAAAACAAATGAGATCTTGATCCAGCCCAAATGTCTGATCAGAGAGGCAGATAAGAAACTTGTAAAACAAAGAGTAATAAGAGTTACCACTTAAACAGCAGGAGGTCGGGGAGCGGAGCAAGATGGCGGAGGAGTAGGAGACCTGGATTTCGTCTGGTCCCAGGAATTCAGCTGGAAAGCGATCAAACCATTCTGAACACCTACGAACTCAACAGGAGATCAAAGAAAGGAATAGCAACAACTCTCTGAACAGAAAAGCGACCACTTTCTGGAAGGTAGGACGTGCGGAGAAGTGAATCCAAGGCGATATTCCAGAGGACAGACGGCGGGGGAGGGGGCCTCCGTCAGCTACTTCTGGAAAGTGACAGAGCCGCAGAGCACAAAATCGGAACTTTTAGAAGTCAGCTCTGCTGAGGGACGTCACTCTGGTGGCTAAACGGGGGGTGGAAACCTCGCGGGACAGTGTGGTCTCAGGACCCTCGGGGTCACAGAAAGACCGGGGGTGCCTGAGTGCGGCAGAGCTCCCAGGTATCGGAGCGGGGAAGCCGGCTGCAGAGACGGAGCCGAGGCGCAGGCTCTCAGCTTGGGGTTGCCATAGACTGTGATCCGCGGCCCAGTCGGGCCACTGCTCCCCCAGCAGGGACCCAACAAGCGGCAGATCCGGGGAGACACCCTTCCCTCCCCCGGGAGGAGCGGTGCGGGAGCGCACCGCAGGGATCTGCTGGGTTTGGAGACTCCACACGGGGTCGGGTGCCAGA